CAGGCTCCCAGCTCCAGCAGCAAATGCCAGGCAGGGGGAAGGTCCTGTAAAAATTCCCTGGGGGCATCTGAGGCATTCGAAAGATGTCAGAAAAGCCTTGCAATTTTAATAATGAAAAATGCTTTAATAGGAATTTTTTTCCACCCCAGTTCATAATCAAGCCTGCAGTTTTTTCTTAGTTTCATCCATTTGCAGCCTCCAGCTGGCCTGGAGCTTTCAAAGAGCTCAGGAGAAATAAGGCCAGTGGTCCGGGTGCCCAATTCCATGAACATTTCCCTGCTCAATTCTCACCAGGACAAACCAGCACCGAGTGCAGCAGTGGTTCAGACCCCAGGAAAAGGACAGGAGAGGGAGTGACAGGATGGATGGAATCACAGAGGGAAGCTGGGAGAGGAGGAAGAGCAGAAAGCCAGGGTGCAGAGCTCTCCTCCCGTGGAATTGGTGCCCTCAGCTGCTTTCTAGGGATGGTTCCTCCTCGCCCAGCAGCAGGAGGAATGTGCCTGTGCACGGCTCCGGGAAAATCCTGCATTTGGAGCTCCAAAGAGATGCAAATCCAGCCCTGTTGGTGTTCCAGCTGCAATGACAGCACCAAGAACCCAGCTGAGCTATGCCTCCAGTGCCCGAATTCTCAGTTTCTTTTAGAACCTGCAGAGAACAGAAAAATGCTGATGGAGAGGGGAGTCCTGAGGGGAAAACCTGCCTGGGAATGGGGCTCCAGAGCTCCAGCCAAGAGCTCTTCTCCACTAAGGCAGCACTGGCTCCAAGGAAAAATGTTGTTATCAAACCCAGAGCTGGAAGAACATTGAGTTTCAGCCACGGAACAGCTTCGAGGGCCTCTCCCAGGGCCAGGAGACTCAGCAGGGCTGGAGGGAGATTGTAGTTCGTGCACTGCACACCCTCCTCTCCTGCTGGAGCAGCTGGGGGCAGCTTAATCCTGACCTAGGTTAGTTTAATCCTGACCCAGGGCAGTTTAATCCTGACCCAGGGCAGCTTAATCCTGACCCAGGGCAGCTTAATCTGATCCAGGGAGTTTAATCCTGACCCAGGACAATTTAATCCTGATTTAGGACAGTTTAATCCTGACCCAGGTCAATTTAATCCTGATTTAGGGCAGTTTAATCCTGATTGAAGGCAGTTTAATCCTGATTTAGAACAGTTTAATCCTGACCTAGGGAGTTTAATCCTGATTTAGGACAGTTTAATCCTGACCCAGGTCAATTTAATCCTGACCTAGGGCAGTTTAATCCTGATTGAGGGCAGTTTAATCCTGACCTAGGACAATTTAATCCTGATTTAGGGCAGTTTAATCCTGCCCTAGGACAGTTTAATCCTGCCCTAGGACAGTTTAATCCTGACCATGGGCAGTTTAATCCTGACCCAGGGCAGTTTAATCCTGATTTAGGACAGTTTAATCCTGCCCTAGGGCAGGGCTTTGTCCTGCACCTTGGACAGGTGAGATTTGCTCAAGGTCCATGTGGAATCAGGACCTGAAACCCTCCAAGCACCCACTCAGTGCCTCATTTTTGTGTCACTCACTCATTTTTGTGTCACTCTCTCATTTTTGTGTCACTCACTCATTTTTGTGGCTCTCATTTTTGTGAAGGGGAGCAGAAGAACCCAATTTTTAAGCAGGGACTGGGGACTCACACAAGCACAGCCTGAGGGGAGCAAGAATTCCCTTCCTCATGTAGAAGTTTTTGTGAAATCCATCTCAGCACGGCCGAGTGAGAGCACAGAGCTTCAGCAAAGTGCATTTTTAGGACCTCACTGTTCCTGAACGCTTCTCCACGCAGCCACAAAGGCTGAGCACAGCCAGGAAAAGCCTTTTTCCATGAGTCACAGAACCGTTCTGAATGGGAAGAGACCGTGCTGCACACGAGCTGCTTTATCCCGTGCTGAACGGGAACCTTGGCACCACCTCTGGGACATTTTTGGGATCCTGCTCCCCTGCCAGGTTATCCCTGGGAGGATCAGAAGGGAGAGCAGGGTTTCTTGGAAAGCACTTTTTGCTTTCTCTCTCCCCGCCGTGCCCATCTAGACAGAAATCCAGCACACCCTGGCCGCAGAGAGCTTTCAAAAGGATTCAAGCTCCAGCCAAATATTTGCTGAGAAACCAGCAGAGCAGCGAGGCCAAGACAAACCTCGGGTTTTAGGGCAAAGGGATCAGCTGAGGAGAGGATCCAGAATTCCAGATGGAGCCTGGCTGATGAAACCCCTGCTCCTCGGAGCCAGCAGGGCACAGAACCCTCGGTGGCACTGCGGGGATGTCCCCCAGCCCTGCCTAGAAAGGTTCTGCAGGGCAGATTTTGGGTTGGATGGGGCAGGATCTGTCATCCCGGCTCTGGAACATTCCTTTGTGCCTCAAGAGCTCTGGAATTCCTGACGTGAGTGGATCCAGAGCTGGGCAGGCACAGACTCTGCTTCTTCCCCCATCCTCCTCTGCATCCATCCTCATCCTCCCCTGCAGGGAGCTCTGCAGGGATTTTCCAGCAAACCAGGGATGCACATCCCAGCTCTGAGCTGCTCTCAGCAGGGAGGGAATGGTGGAAAAAAACCCAAAAAAGGGCAAGGAGAGGCTGTGGAGGACACGGAGCAGGGGATTATTTGCACAGCAGGATGCACTCCCCTCCTTCCACCAGCTCAGCTTTGCTCTCTTCACTCTGCTGTTGAAATATTTGCTTTAAACACACAACACATGGCTCCCTTCCCCAGGGCAGCCTTCAGCTCAAAAATAAGGATTTTTTTTCACCTCTATGGATTATCCTTAGCGTTTCTCTCCTTTCCTTTGCTCAGCCTCCATGAAATGTTATTTTTCAGCACAATTTCCAGTAACTCTGCTCCGTTTCTCAGGACACTGGCACTGCTTCGTCCCAGTGCCCAAAAATAATACAAAAAGCAATTTATGACAACAAATATTACAGCAAAACCTGTAAGTTTTGAACGTGTACATCTGTGCTAAGAGATGCTACAGTGAAAAAAAAAATCAGTGCTGGGAGTGGGGATCTCTGGCTGTGCCAAAGGAACCTCACCTCTCATGAAATTTGTTTATTCAGGGAATCTCTATTTATTGAGCACTGGAATTAAACACCCTGTGGTGATCTGGGAATTCTGCATGGAGCTGAGGAAAGGAGAAGGACCCAAAATCTGATGGCTCAAGGCAGCAGGATGAGGATTTCACCTGCAGGGAATGGGATTTTCCCTCCTGGGCACTTCCAGATTTCACCCTTCAGCTCCCAGCTTGGGGAGAAAAAAACAAAAATAAAACCAACAACCCAACATTCCCGTGGGAATGGCACTGAAAAATTGTTTGTTTTTTTTTCTGTGGGTCATGGGCTAAAAAAAAAAAGGATTTGTGTGCTGGAAGAGGGAGAACAGGAATGTTTGGGGCCTGAAGAGAATTTTCCCATTTTTTAGCCCGCCCCTCGTGACCAGCAGCTGCTGATGTTCCTAGAAAAATCCACGCTCTGATGAAAAACAAATGAGCTGCAAACAGCTCCAGCTGGCACAGGAGAAGGAATATTTTGTTGAAGTGTCATTTGGAGCTGCTGCTCACAGAAGTGCTGCACTGGCCTGACCCAGGCTGGGGCTCAGCTCTGAGCTGAGAGCAGAAATTTGGGGGTGAAATGAGGGAAAAAGGCAAAAACAAAATGAATCCACAGTGAACTGAGAACTGCTCCTCTGGCTGGGGATGATTTTGTCCCTGCTGTCTGGTGGGATGTATTAATAACCTGGTTTTAATATTATAATTAATGTAATGATATGATTTTAATATTATAATTAATTCAATAGAATTAATTTATATTAAATTGCATTACTTCAATATTATAATCTAATATATTAATATAATATAATATAAGATAATATAATATATAATATAATATCATATCATATATTACATTATATTATACAGCTAATATAATTATTAATATAATTATATAATATTTATATTGTAATACGTACTAATTATATATTAATATTATAATTAATTTATTATTAATAACCAACTTGTGGGCGGTTCAATCCTTCTAAAATCTTGGGAGCAGCACAGATTAGTGGCACCATAAAGGAGAGATGGGTTTTTTACCTGACTCTGCTTTGCAAGAAAAAAAAAATCTCCCTCTTTTCTACCAATCTGAATTTTCTACCAATATGAATAATATGAATAATAATAATATGGATAAAATTAATAGTCTGGGGGTAATAAATAGTCTGCAAAATTATTCCCTTGCCCCAAAAAGGGGTTAAGAAAAGCAGATAAAGTTGGCTCAGATTTGGGCTTTTGAGCACTTTTGTTTTGCTGCCCCAGCAAAGATTTTGGGGAAATTTCTGGATTATTCCAAAGGGATTCCCATCAGCTTGGATTTCTGGGAAATAATGAGAATCTGCACCTCTCATTTTTACACCAAAGCTGACTCTGAAGTTCAGCTTCAGGTTCTTTGGGTGTTAAGCAGGAGCCAAATAAATAATTTAGGAGTTACATCTGATCCACTTTCACAGATTAAAAAAAAAATCTATTGAAACTGCAACAAACTCAAGTGAATATCTGGATAAATATTATCTCCAGAAGTCAAGAACTGCTGAAATAACTTTCTGAATAAACCACAGGGTTATAGATAATCAATATTCCCATCACCACCACACACTCCACACAGTTCCACATTGCTTGGGAAGATCTGCCACCTCTTTGCTAAGGAACAAAGGGAGCAGAGGAACACTGGAATTTTTGTTTTGCTTTGTTTGTTTAAATATTGCTTCCAATATGTAACAAACAGGAGGTTTGGGCACCACTGTATCACCAGAGCCCAGACAAACAGCCACACTTCCACCAAAATTTACTTTACAGGATGACTGAGTGGTAATAATTCTCCACTCAGCTGGAAAACAATACAGCTACTGTTTGTACATTCATTTTTAATGCTCAGGAAAATATATATTTTTATTTTATTAAGTTTTGCTGCAAAACAAAGAAACAAAAATGAAATCCCTTTTGTTTTTTTTTTCTCCTCCCCCTCGTATCTTAATTATTACTATTTATTTTCTTTACACTTTGATTGGAGTATTTAACACCTGCCTTTGGCATTATGGATAGAAAGCTCAGGAGTCTCTGAACACACGGCTCTGCCAAAAAAATAAAATAAAATATGGAAGAAGAAGAAGAGTGTCACTTAGAGGTCAGAAATATTTGTTTTAACAGATTTTCTCCAATCAGTGTTCACTACTTTTTCTCTAAGGCACACGCTCTGTCTTTAGGACTCCTGACATCCAGCTGGGCTGCTGAGCCCCAGGGTGCACAGGGGCTTGGGGACATCCCTCCCTGTCCCTGGCTGTCCCTGGCACCTGGCACAGCTGGTCCTGGACCTCCTCGGGAGCTGGGAGCTCTCCTGGATGCCTCTGGAACACCCCAGGATCTGCCCAGCCCAGCTCTGGAGCATCCCGGGATCTGCTCAGCTCTGGAACATTCCAGGATCTGCTCAGCCCAGCTCTGGAGCATCCCGGGATCTGCTCAGCTCTGGAACATCCCAGGATCTGCCCAGCCCAGCTCTGGAACATGCCAGGATCTGCTCAGCTCTGGAACATCCCGGGATCTGTTCAGCTCTGGAACATGCCAGGATCTGTTCAGCTCTGGAGCATCCCAGGATCTGCTCAGGTCTGGAACACCCCAGGATCTGTTCATCTCTGGAACATTCCAGGATCCATTCATCTCTGGAACATTCCAGGATCTGCTCAGCTCTGGAACACCCCAGGATCTGCTCAGCTCTGGAACATGCCAGGATCTGCTCAGCTCTGGAACATTCCAGGATCTGTTCAGCTCTGGAGCATCCCAGGATCTGCTCAGCTCTGGAACACCCCAGGATCTGCTCAGCTCTGGAACACCCCAGGATCTGCCCAGCTCTGGAACATGCCAGGATCTGCTCAGCTCTGGAACATTCCAGGATCTGCTCAGCTCTGGAACACCCCAGGATCTGCCCAGCCCAGCTCTGAAGCATGGTCAGTCCAGTGGTGGTTCTGGATGAGCAGCACAGGTGAGGGAGGGGCTGTCCCTTCCCTGGGACACCCCAGAGGGGACTCCTCCTCCTCCTCCTCTTCCTCCTCCCCTGGCACATCCCTCCTGTGCTTCCCTCCTTTTCCCAGGGAGCCAAACCCCTGCGGAGGGAGGAAGCACAGCAGGGTTGGGGCCGGGGAGGAGCAGCATCCTCAGCCAAGATGTGGATCCTCTCCCGGGCAGATGGGGCACAGGGAGGAGCAGCATCCTCAGAGGAAGATATGGATCCTCTCCTGGGCAGACAGGGCACGGGGAAGAGCAGCATGGATCCTCTCCTGGATGGTCTGGAGGCAGATGGGGGTGGAGCAGCATCTTCACATGAAGATGTGGATCCTCGAAGATGTGGATCCTCTTCTGGATGGCCTGGCAGCAGATGGGGTCAGGGCCAGGGAGGAGCATCCTCAGAGGAAGATGTGGATCCTCTCCCAGGCAGATGGGACTCAGTCAGGGCAGGGGAGGAGCAGCATCCTCAGAGGAAGCTGTGGATCCTCTCCTGGATGGCCTGGAGACAGATGGGGGTGGAGGAACATCCTCAGCTGAAGATGTGGATCCTCTTGCAAGATGGCCTGGAGGCAGATGGGGCACAGGGAGGAGGAGCACCCTCAGAGGAAGCTGTGGATCCTCTCCTGGATGGCCTGGAGACAGATGGGGGTGGAGGAACATCCTCAGCTGAAGATGTGGATCCTCTTGCAAGATGGCCTGGAGGCAGATGGGGGTGGAGGAGCACCCTCAGAGAAGATGTGGATCCTCTGTGGGCAGATGGGACACAGGGAGGAGGAGCATCCTCAGCCAAGATGTGGATCCTCCCTCGGCTGGCCTGGCGGCAGATGGGGGTGGAGGAGCACCCTCAGAGGAAGCTGTGGATCCTGTCCTGGATGTGCTGGAGGCAGATGGGGGTGGAGGAGCACCCTCAGAGGAAGCTGTGAATCCTCTCTCGGGCAGATGGGGCACAGGGAGGAGGAGCACCCTCAGAGGAAGCTGTGGATCCTGTCCTGGATGTGCTGGAGGCAGATGGGGGTGGAGGAGCACCCTCAGACGAAGCTGTGGATCCTCTCCCGGGCAGATGGGGCACAGGGAGGAGGAGCACCCTCAGAGGAAGCTGTGGATCCTGTCCTGGATGTGCTGGAGGCAGATGGGGGTGGAGGAGCACCCTCAGACGAAGATGTGGATCCTCTCGCGGATGGCCTGGCGGCAGATGGGGCACACGGTCAGCGCCGTGCTGCAGTCTGGGCACGAGCCGTGCCCGCACTGGAACACCAGCTTGATCTGGTCGTCGATGCAGATGGGGCAGGTGATCCTCTCCTCCATCTGCCGGTAGCGGCTCTGCAGCTCCTCCATCAGCTTCCTCTGCTCCGTGCACTCCGAGCTGGGGCTGCACTCCACCTCCGTGCTGTCTGTGGGCAGAGATCAGCCTTAATTAACTCATTAACTCCTCCTTCTGCCCCTCCCAGCAGCAGCATCCCACTCACACTGCACTCTCTGCACTCAGCCAGGGATCAAATAAAAATCCTTGGGGTGATGTTTTGTTTTTTTTTTTTTTACTCACTCAGTGCTTTGTGTTTGTTTGGCATGGTTTGGGTTTTTTTTTAAAATCCTGTCTGAAATTCCTGCCTTGGTGCTCTGGAATATGCTGCTCACTTCAAGTGAAAATATTCAAAGTTGGTTGTGATATTCTGCCCCACTAATCTGGGAATCCTTACAGGGATCCTTACTGTGTTCTCTCAGCCTCCTGGTCACACCTGGGACTCCAATTTCTGCCCAAGAAATGTCTGAGAAATTGTGTGTGTCTTTCAGGACACACATGGTCAAACCAGAAGAAACCATCTGAACACCTGTGTTGAGTTTTACAGTTTTCATTTCCATAAATGAAGAGTTTTACATAAATAAGAGTCATGTTTGGTTGACTCTGAAATGAAAGAATCCCAAATCCTGGACAGTGGGAGTCTGGGTAAATATTCTCAGTGCAGCTCCCACTGCTCATTTTCTGCTCCTGAATCACTGATTTACACTGTGATTTACTGATTTATTTCACTACAGATGTCCCATTCCTAATTCTGGAACTAGCTGCACATCAGTGGTGCAAGAAGTGATTTCAAACCCAGTCCTTGGGGACAGGGAGCTTGTCAAAGACAAGCACTGAAGACATCACTGCCAGGGAAATCCTGCTGGTATTTCAGACCTTGATGTTCCTCCTCCACTGGAAATCTGCCTGCAAATGCCCTCTTTGGAATTCCCATCATTATTTTGCTGCCAGTCTGCAGCAAAGACAAATGCTGCTGTCCAGTGTCAGGTCTGAAGTGGTATTTTTGGCAGGGTGGAGTTGCAGAGAGGAGCTCTGGCTCTGCCAGCTGTGCCTGTCCAGTGCCACGGGACTGATTCCTGCTTTTTTTCCAGGCATCAAGTCACAAGGCTGACTCCAAAAAAAGCCCACAATGCTCAGTCACATGCAGGACATGCAATTAAATCCTCACATGCCCTGAGAGTGATCTCAGTGGCAACTTGCATCAACCCCATGGCAAAAGCAAACCCTGCTGCTGCCCTGCTGACATCACAGCTCCTCCTGACACTGGGAAACGTGGACAGGAGAGAAATGTGGGCTGAAAACCTTTATTGAAATACTCCAGCTCTGAGATTTCTGCATAGCTGGGTCATGCCAGCCCTGCACAGACACTGATTTCTCAGCCAGGGGAGGAGCAAGGCTTGCACAAGGTGTAATTTTCCCTCCCTCATGAATTTTCACTGTTAAATCACCCCATGTGAAACCTGACTGCTTTAAATATACAAAATAAGCCAGGCCCAGTAAAGCTCCCTTAAATGTCCTGTCCTATGCAGCTTGAGCTTGGCTTAGACACCTGAGAAAATCTATTAAAATCCACTTTTTTTTTTCCTCTCTGAAGGTGGATAATGCAACAGGCACACACACACACACAAAGCCAAAATAAATGAACTCTTATTTGACTGAAAATCACTGATGCCCCTCAAGCTAAGCCTGTGAGGACCCTCCCCACAGCCCTGAGCAGCAGGACAGCCAGGACATACCTTGTTTCAGCTTTTTGGTTATTGTCACTTGACATTTGATGCACTTCTTCATCCTCCTGGAGCATTCTGCCACAAGGAGAGATGACAATTAAACCCACAACAGACTCAAGAAGATCAGACTTGAACAACCTGAGCCTCCCTGGGTGACTGAGGGATTGCTCCTGCATGGAATGAGGTCACCACCTGCTTTCTGAACTGTGCCCTACTCTTTTATTTAATCTTTCCCAGGTCAGCAGCAAACACATCACTTTAAATCCTCCTTGCTCTGAGCCCCTGGAGCTGCTGCAGCTCTGGGGGAAGAGGACGAAGCTCTGTCACAGAGCTCTGAGCAAACTCCCTGTGCTCACTCACTCTGTGCCCTGTGAGATGAACTTGCTGGCAAGTCTGAGCAGGCTGCCCTTAAATCAGCTGAAATCCCAAAGAATGAAGAGTTAGGAGAGCCAGAGGAGAGGGAAATCCTTCTCAGGAGGTTTCTGGGGGGTAAAGCACTGACAGCCAGAACTGGCTTTCCCTCTGAATTACCCAGGCCCAACAAAGCTGCCTGGAGTCCCAAGCAGCAGGTGGGCAGAACATTTTGTGTTTTTCAGAGATAACTTTGGCTGTCTGAGATGCTGAAATCACGCTGGGGTTGCCTCAGGACACAAACAGCACCAAAGCTCTGTGTGCGAGCAGGGCTGGATTTCTGACAGGGCAAAGAGAGAGGCTGGGAAGAAAACCATGAGGAAAAAAAAAATAAAAAAAAATCAGTGTGGACTCACCTTCACACACAATACTGTGCTGGCATGGGAAGAAATGGATGAGCAAGGCCAGCTCTGAGCAGACCAGGCACTCTGTGGGCACTGCCACGCTGGACACACTGAGGTTGGTCATGGTGTTGGGCGTGGTGTGCACACGGCGAAGGCTGCAGGTGATGCTTGAGCTCTCAGAAGAAACCTGCTGGTCCCTGCAGATGTCAGAAATGAGAGCCACGAGCTCCTTCAGCAGTGGGTAATGGCAGACTGAGCCTTTTTCTGACTCACAGGTGAGGTAACTGAGGGGTGTTTTAATATTTTTATTTCATCTTTCGTTGTTCTATTTCTCTAAAGTATGAAATCTTTTTTTTTTTTTGTAAAGTTATCCTCTAAAACTTGTTTCTAATTCAATTTCTCTCTCAATAATGTCTGTCCTATTCTATAACATTTCTTACCTCAAAATTTACATACATTTTCTCTAAACTATGAAATTTTTTTTGGTAAAGTTATCCTTTAAAACTTGTTTCTAATTCAATTTCTCTCTCAACAATGTCTGTCCTATTGTATAATGTTTCTAAATCAACATTTCTTACCTGAAAATTTACATACATTCTATCTAAAGTATGAAATATTTTTTTGTAAAGTTATCCTTTAAAACTTGTTTCTAATCCAGTTTCTCTCTCAACAATGTCTGTCCTGTTCTATAACATTTCTAAATCATAATTTCCAACCTCAAAATTTACATACATTTTCTCTAAAGTAGGAAATCTTTTTTTAAAGTTATTCTTTAAAACTTGTTTCTAATTCAGTTTCTCTCTCAACAATGTCTGTCCTATTCTAGAACATTTCTAAATCATCATTTCTTACCTCAAGATTTACATACAGATATGTACACACATACTATGTGAACTTTCTGTTAAGTTTTAAGAATTTTCTGCAAATCCATTTCCCACAGGTTATCCCTGGGTTACCCCACAGGGCAGCACAGGCTCAGGCAGATAAACCTGAGACCCTTCCTTGCCCTGCTGGGACAAGCTCAGCTGGGATCCTCAATGGTTCTGCCCAAAAAAGAAAGGAAAAGAGCAGGGATCTCTAATTTATATCCATTTACACAAGTTGAAACTGCTGTTTTGGAGGTAACAGTAAAATAACAGCACAATCATCTGCTGAAAGCAGATAATAATAATAATAATAATAATAATAATAATGGGACAATAATAATAAAAAAATTAATAATAATAATGATAATAATGAGGAATGTCAGCCTGACAGAAATGACATTTTTAAGCAAAAAAACCTCAGTCCAACACCTATTCCACTGGCAGAATTCCTGGGGAAGGTGTTAAAGAGACACTTTTCACCTTTTGCACTGCTGGGGGTTCCTCCTCCAGCAGGAACAGCACAGACTCTGTGCCCCAGATCAAACAGAACTCTGCTTTCCTGTTTGCAAAGCCCAAATCCAAACAAATGCTGCTCAGAGTCCCAGATAAAGCCAGCTCTGACTTGCCATACTCTCCCTCTGGCATTTTCTCAGGTATTTCTCTTATCAGCTTCAAAACAAGTGTTTATCTAGCGCCCTGGAATAAATCCTGGGGGTTTTGGTGCCCACTTTTGCAGTACTCTTTTTAAATATCTGTGAGTGAGGATCAAATGGAAGTAAAACAGAACCCAGGACTGCTCTGCAAAGTTGTTCTCAGTGGCCTCAGAGGCTCCTCAGATTGCCAAGGGTTTGCACAGAGCCTCATCTGTTAATCTGCTTTTCCCAACCCTTCCAAACTCAGCACACAGCCTCACTTCAGCCCTCCACACTCCAGAACAAACAGGACACGCTCAGGGTGACATCCTGAGGGTCTCAGGGATTCTCCATCCCCCCATGAGCAGCTCTAGAGGGTCTCAGGGATTCTCCATCCCTCCTGGAGCAGCTCTAGAGGGTCTCAGGGATTCTCCATCCCTCCTGGAGCAGCTCTAGAGGGTCTCAGGGATTCTCCGTCCCTCCTGCAGCAGTTGCAGAGACACCAGGGCTGGGGGATTCTCTGATTTCCAAGGGTTTCCCGAGGCTCACCTGAATTTCTGTGAGAAGTCTTTGACAATCTGGACAATCCTTCCATCTGTGATGAGGTCCAAAGGAGACTTTCCCCGATGATTTGCATAATTAATATCTGCTCCTTCTTGTGCTAAGTAGCAGGCAATGGCAGTCCCAACGTTCAGCTCCACATTTCCCAGCAAGCCAGAAGCCTGCAGCTAAAAGAAATTGAGAAAAACACTCTGAAATATACTCCCCAAGCTTCTGATCTGCATCAAAATCTAAATAAAGTCTTAAACCTCGTGCTTCAAACTTGGAAGTGCAACTTTTTGAAAGCACACAAAGATTCTTTTTGTAAATAATGGGTTCAAATTTTACACTGCAGGGCCAGGAGTGCCTCAGAGTGACCCTACCTGGTGATTATCCCTACAAATCAGAGAAATGGGCACGAATTTCTCTCAAAGGAAGAAGCTGGAGGCCCCACAGAGCTGCTGAGCAGCTGCTGCAGGGTGACAGCTATTTCAAGAGCCAGACTCTGATGTGCATCATCCCAAATAATTCAAAGTCAAGTCACATATTCCACTGACTCAACCAGCCAGAGTGGGTCAGGCAGGGCAAGTAAAATTAGATGGGAAGGAATTTACAGCACTCAGAGATGGTGTGACTGTCAATAATGCTGGGAGGGACAGGCACAGATCCTCCTGAGGACTTTGGCCCTGCACCTGAGCCATCATCTCCTGGGGGTTTGGTAAGGAGCAGGATGAAGGAGCAGTGCTAAAAAAGGGGAATGGGTGGTTGCACTTATCCTAATAATTTCAAGCATAACAGTAAATAATAATAACATAATAATAATAATAATAATAATAATAATAATAGTAACAACAACAACAGTTTTATTATTATTACTATTATAGATTCATAATAATAAGGATAATAATAGATTCATAATGGTAAATAAGAAAATAACAAAATATAATTAAATAATAATAACAACAATAATAAATAAAATAAGAATAAAAATTAAATAAAGATAAAAGAAGAAAAATAAAATAAAATAAATAATATGAAATTTAATAATAAACATTAAAATCATTAACGTATAATATAACCTATAATGTAATAACATATAATATATAATATATATTATATATTATATATTATATATTATATAATATATATATATATATAACATAGATTATATATATATACACATATATCTATAATACACTAAGATCACACAAAAATCACTAAACCACCACATTCTGTGCTGTTTTACCCACAAAAATCCCCAAACCCCCACGTTCTGGTACTCTGCTCACCTTGGCCAGGAGGGTGGCTCCCATGTCCCCGTCCCTCTTCTCCAGGGCCAGGGCCATGAGCTGCTGGCGCTCCAGGGCGATGTGCATGGCGGTGTCACCATCCTCATCCTCAGCATTGACGTCGCTGCCCTGGCTCACCAGCAGCTGCAGCATGCCCACGTGGCCCTGGATCACGGCCAGGTGCAGCGGGCTCTGCTTCCTGCTGTTCTTCACGTTCACGTCGCAGCGACCCTGCCAAAGCAGGAATTGCAGCACGGGATGAGCTGAGTCTGAGCTTGGCTGCAGAGCTGAGTGTGGGGCCTGGCAGCTCCCAAATCCCACTCCACCTTTGTTGAGTTCAGCTATCTGCTCCTCACAGAAGCACCAATTTGTCGGACAAGACCCATTTCCTGACCCAGAGATGGTGTTTTAAAAACTTTTATTCAATTTTCAGTCTCGTGTGAAGGGTGACACAATACAGACGTTATAATTCACTTGTCACAATCAGGAGTTAACTATTTTCTAATTACAATACACTGTAAGTGTTTCTTGGCTTATCAGTTTTAGTTAGGCCATGCTGTAGATGCTTTCAAGTCCATAAAGTAAAATCACCCCTTGTGGGAGCCTGGAAAAAGCAGGAATTGCACCATGGGGAGATGGGGCTGCTGAGCTTGGCTGCAGAGCTCAGAGTGTGGGGCCTGGCAGCTCCCAAATCCCACTCCACCTTTGTTGAGTTTAGCCAAGCTGTCTGCTCCTCACACTGATTTGTCAGACAATAACACCCTGTTCTGTCCCAGGGATGGGCCACCTGAGAGGTGTCTGAAAAACTTTTATTCCATTTTCAGTCTCATGAGAAGGGTGACACAATACAGACGTTGTAATTCACTCATCACAATCAGGACTTAACTATTTCCTAATTACAATACACTGTAAGTGTTTTTTGCCTTATCAGTTTTAGTTAGACCATGTTGAAGATGCTTTACAGTCAATCATCTAAATTACCCCTTGTGGGAGCCTGGAAAAGCAGGAATTGCAGCACGGGGAGATGGGGCTGCTGAGCTTGGCTGCAGAGCTCAGAGTGTGGGGCCTGGCAGCTCCCAAATCCCACTCCACCTTTGTTGAGTTTAGCTGAGTTATCTGCTCCTCACAGAAGCACCAATTTGTCAGACAACAATACATTTCCTGACCCAGGGATGGGCCAGCTGAGAGGTGTTTGAAAAACTTTTCCTTGATGTTGGTTTTGAGTTATTTCTTACCTCTTTGATGAGAATTTCAGCCACTTCCAAGTGGTTGTTGAGAGCAGCAAGGTGCAGGGCAGTGAATCCATCTTCCTTTTTGGAGTCCACCAGCTGTCGAGCCCTGGCCAGAATCTTTTTTATGGCTCTGCAGAGTTGGAGAGGTTATTAAAGATGGAAGAATTGAATTTCTGCCTCTCCTGTCAGGAGTTATCCATGTCCATGTTTTACCAGGTGGTGCTGACACCAGCAATGAAGAGCAGTCCCTCAAACACACAGAATTACAAGAATACAACAAAAGCCCTCCGTTATCTTTAATAAAGCAGGGAAAAGCCACATTGCTTTGAAAATAATGAGGAGATTTATCTTTGGAAGAGTTCCAGAGGCTCCCAGGCTTTCTAAGACCCAAATATCTGAGACTGTTCAGAAACAGTGAGATTCCCAGCCTAGGGAAGCATGAGAAAGATGAGATGGGGAAAGCAGACAGGAGTTTCCTGTGAAGGCCTGAAGGAGCTTATCCAAACCCAAGAAATGTTTAACCAACTATCCAGAACCTCATTTGCCACCTCCTCAGCCAGCCAGCACAAATTAACACCTGCTAAAGGCATAAAAAAGGAAAAAAAAAGAAAGGTGACTTACAGCTTGTTGCCTTTCAGGGCAGAATAGTGGAGCAGGTTGAAGCCTTGACAGTTCTGGACAGTGAAATCGATGTTGGGAACTTCAGTGAGAATCTCAATCACGACTTTGTAGTCCATGGTGATAGCATAGTGCAGGGGGGTGTCTCCCCGGGAATCCTACACATGGAGACCAAAGCAAACCCAGGTTACCAACCTCAGAAAGCCCCAGGAAACCCACTGGGAGCTGCTGGAACTCCTGAGCAGCTCTGAGGGATGACCCAGCAGAAAACAGCCCCACCAGCACACAATAAACCCTAAAAATGGGCTGGGTCCAAGTCACCATCACTGCCTGGCCTTAAAAACGTTAAAAAATCTTGGTTTTGGGAACAGGAGTGTGGCCACAACACACAGGAACAGCAGCCCAGCTCTCCCTGGAAGCCTGAGCAGAGCAGAAAATGCTGATGTGATGAAGAAGGGGCAGACTCAAAGCTGGAATTTCAGGGTACTGAAATTCAGGAATATTTCCTAGTGCCTCTTCAGAGGACAAATTTGAATTCTACAAAGCCACAGATGGTGTAAGACGTAAAGAAGTATTATTATTGTTGTTAAGAATGAAGGGATGGGACTATTTTTGGGCTAAGAACAATTTATTGTTTAGATAAACATTAGTATCAGAGATTGTGAAATTTTAAAGGAGTAAGCAGTTGGCTATAGCTTAAGAGTAGTCACAAGTTCTTTGTTATAAGATAATTTATAATTTTTTAAGCTAATAGATAGTTGTTACAAGGTTTATTTTGTTTTTCTAACTTAATTTTGTTGCACTGTGGATACTTTTGTCTAATGGGTTTCTGTCTCATGTCTGTATATATGTTTCTATCATAACTTCTAAATTCTTACCTTATTTTATGTAACTACACTTTTACTTTATAAACTTTTCACTATTTTATCAATACAGCTTCTTGATATATTTTTACTTACAACTACAGAAACATAAGTTTATGGTTTTTTCTGCTTAATGTCTGTGTATTGTATTTTTACATTCATCTAAGCTCCCCTCGAGGATGTAAATCAAACTTTTCTCACAAAGAAGCACCTCCCCACCTCAAAAAAAAACCCAAAAAAATCCTCCAACACCTCCCTGGCCCAAATGCCTGCAGTAATGCCAAACTTACTGGGAGGTTGACATCACAGTTGAGCTCACAGAGGGCTCTCACCACCTCGGTGAAGCCTTGGCTGACAGCGACGTACAGGGCTGTGCACTTGGCATTGTTCAGCAGGTCTGCACTGGCCCCCTTGGCCAGCAGCACACGGGCAACTTCAGCTTGGTTTCTGGTTTAAAGCAAGGAAAAAACCCAGATTTGAGTCATTCCAGTCAATTCTTTCTCTTTGCAAAGCAACAGAAATCAGGTTTTGTATCCTCTCAGCCCCACTCCGCTTCCCCTCAGTGTTAAAAAAACTGGGGTGGTTTTGTTTTATTTTGTTTTGTGTCTGGTTGGGGTTTTTTTTGTTGTTCTGTTTGGGGTTTTTTTTTGTTGTTAGGGTTGGGATTATTGCTATTATTTCCATCAGCAGGAGGGGAGGTGTCCTACCCAAAGGCTGCGTAGTGCAGCGCCGTGTCCCCCTCGTCGTCACGCAGGTCGACGTTGGCGTGTGCCTGCAGCAGAGCCTTCACCACCTCCAGGTGCCCCTGGTAAGAGGCAATCTGCAGGGCAGTCCTGCCCTGGTTCTTGGCATCCACCTTTGGGAAGGGCAGAGACACAGAAAATCAGGGATGAGCTCGTTCTGTGCCTGGAGCAGGGTGGGAACAGCCCAGAAATCCCACGGGGTGCGTGCCCTGCTGGCTCCCCTGCTGGCTCCCAGCTGAGCTTGTCCCAGAACATTCTGGAAGGGGAAGGGGGCAGCATGTTTAGTCAAGAGGGGAGAAGTGAGAGAACAGAGCTGGAGCTCTGTAATTGCAAAGCCCTGCTGCCAAATCACTCAGTGCCTGAGAGCACGACGCTCCTTGATACCTCTGCCAACAATTCCCTTCCCAAGGGGAAATGTGTGAGGAAATCAAATCAGCTTTGCATAAGGCTCTGGAGCTGCCAGGTCCCTGCTGTGCTGTGCTGCTGCAGGTACTTCAGTGGGTGCAGTGGCTGCAGGGGACACCTCAGGGCTCAAGTGCTGCAGTGAGAGTTTTGGAGAGTTAAAGGCACAAGAGGTAAAAAAAAAAAAGGCAAAGCAGCTTCTGAAAGCAGTGGAGGCTAAGGAGAGGAGAAAGAGGCACAAAACCTCAGCAGATTGGCAAGGAGAACAAGTTAATAATGAAGGTTTTATCCCTGCAGCAGTCAGAGCACAGGAGAGGCAGCACTTCCCTGGACAGGCTCAAAATGATGGGTGAGTCCTTTGGGCAAAGAGGAATTAGAGGTCACTGCTGTTCTTCCATTGACACCAGGCTGATAAGCTGGAAAAACCCTGCCAAGCAATTCCAACTTGCTCTAAGTCAGCCTCAAATCCAGCCTGATCTCTCTGTAAGTCTCTAATAGAAACAGCTAATTTATTTACATATATATATATTAGAGTAGAAATAGAAGTCTAATAAAAATAACTGATCGTATCATGGATTCCTTACTCTTGAGACTTTCCTATTTGGGATCAATCTGAGAATTGCAAGTATTTGTGTCTCCTTCCCACCCTCAGAAGTTTATTTATAAACTTAAATTTAAGTTTATAAATAATGAAGCATAATAAATACCAGACAACCACTAAATCAACTTCTTCAGAGCTGATCCTGGGTCACAGCCCCACAACCACACCCCCAACAAAACCTTTTTGTTACTCATGGTTTCCAAGGACACACTACTGAAACTTTGGGGGTTTTTTTTCTTTTTTTTTTTGCCCTGTATCTAAACCCTGAGCCCCTCCCTGCAGGAGGTTTCAGGAGATGTGATCCTGACAGTTTGGCACTCTGCAAGCACAGGAATTGTCCAGCCCAGCTCCCTGCTCCAGTCAGACATGAGATAAGACACTGCACAGATCTGGGCAGCTTTTCTCCCCTCCTGATTCCAACAATGTGATTTTACAAGGTCCTCTAAGGACAGGCACAGCCAGACACAAGCCCTGCCTTTCTTTTCCAACAGATTTTCTGATTTCTGCTCTTGTTTTCCTATAGATAAACCCCTCTCCCTCTCATTCTACAGCTGCAGTGGCCACACAGGAAATTTGGGAAAAGCCAGCTTGGGAAAGGTGCTGTAAGGATTTTAGTTCAGATTTACTGCCACAAAATAGAGGCATAAAATATACACATTTAACTTGTGAATTTAATCCTTGCAGCAATTGCAATCCTTGCAGAAATTGCAGCAAAATAAATATTCCAGCTGTTAGGAGATACCACCAAGCCTGACACATCTATTGTTGTCCTCACATTCTTTTCCCTGCTTGACTACAGAATTTTATGATGATGTTTGAAAGAGCAGAAACAAAGGAAAAATAACATTTTTGTCTTCCAAACTTGCCTTGTCTGGGTATTTCTGGAGGAGCTCCCGGATTTTAGCTGCGTTGTTGAGGGCTGCACAAATGACCAGGCACCCTGCATGCTCTGACTCTGTCCTCTGGGACAGCAGCTTCTCCAGGACAGTCACCAAAGTACCTGAAAAAGAGACAGAAATGCACCTGTCACCCCACATCTCTCAGTGTTTGAGGGGACACAGGTGTCACAGCTCCCCAGCAGTGCAAAGTCAAAAAAATTTTGCAAGTTCTGCCTCAAGTCTGACTTGAGCAAACAGCTCCAGATCCATCTGAATCAGGAAAACAAACAAAAATCCTGGCAAGTCTGTGCTCCCTCCCACATGATCCTGACACTCAGAGGAAATAAAGATGGTCAGGCCACAAAAAAAAATTCTGAGCAGATGTGCAAAGCACAAAAAAAATCCCCTCCATGCACCATGTGGTCCCAAACTCGATTTCAGGGCAGATTAGGCAAAACAATTGTGGATTTCACAACAGTTCCATGCACAGACCTGGGAATATTTCACAAGAATCAGTGTCCTTGTGCAGGAAACAGGATGGAACAGGGAACTGAGACACAACAGGAACGAGGCAAATACTGAACCTAGGGCAGAACTGTGCTTAGCAATTCTGAGCCCTAAATTCTGTATTTTCCTGTTAAGCCCAGCATTTCCAAGTCCTAAAGTCTTTATTTTCCTGTCAAAACCAGTTTTGCTTACCCAGTAAGGCACAGCTGGGTTTTATTCTGTATTTTTCCCATTAATCCCAGCATCTCCAAGTCCTAAATTCTGCATTTTCCCATTAAGCTCAGCATTTCCAAGTCCTAAATCCTGCATTTCCCCATTAATCCCACCATTTCCCAGTCCTAAATTCCAGTGAGTCCTCAATTCTGCATTTTCCTGTCAATCCCATCATTTCCAAGTACTAAATCCTGCATTTTCCTGTTCATCCCAGCATTTCCCACACCTAAATTCCAGTGAGTCCTGAATTCTGCATTTTCCTAGTAATCCCATCATTTCCAAGTCCTAAATCCTACATTTCTCCATTAATCCCAGCATTTCCCAGCCATAAATCCTGTATTTCCCCATTAATCCCAGCATTTCCAAGCCCTAAATCCTGCATTCTCCTACGGCCCAGCTTGGTTTGCCCAGCAAAGCACAGCCAAACTTCAGTTCTTCATCCAGGGAAGAACACCTGGATTTTGCCACCACCCAAAGAGCTGGAACAAAGATCTCCCAGCCCTGGGAGGAGCAGGTTTGTCCCTCACTTTTGGACTCCTTGGCACTGTCTGTGGTCATCAGGTTGGCCTCCTCCTCCCTCTGGTAGGCTGTCAGGCAGGCAGGGTTGAAGGTCCAGGACTGTCCCCCCACTGACACTCGCAGATCTCCATCCCCATAGACCTTGATCACCTTCCCAATGTGCCCCAGGGTCTGGAAGGAAAAAAAAAAGGATTTTTTTTTTTTCTCCACCACAAGTTCCCAGACCCAAAGCCAGGGTTTTTTGGTTTTTTTTTTTTTGGGTTTATTTTTTCGTAAAGCTGCAGCTCCTGCTGTGTGAAAAGAAGCACTGGACAATGACACACTCACAGACAGCTCCCACTTCGAGGACACCAGAGGGTTCTCACCAGTTTCTGTCTCACTGGTTTGCCATGGAAGGGTTTTCCCAGCCACACTGGGAAAGGCTGGGGAGGAAGGTGCTGACAAGAACTGATCAAGCTGGGACTGGGGACGGTTTCCTCTGGGCTTTAACTGCTCCTGGAGGAACCTGCACCCCACTTTTTAGCCATGCTGGGCTGATTTTTCCACCTCCCTGCCTCATTGCAGAGAGTCAGGGAGGGCATAAGAGGAATTTGATGATGGAAACCTCTCCCACGAGTTGGTGGCAGCCAAATCCTTTTTTGCTGGATTCCCCCTTGTCCCGTTCAGTGCCGCGGGCACGACGGCGTCACCGAGAGCCACCAGCAGCAGGGGCTGGGCAGGGACTTCCCAGCAGGAATTCTGGGGGGGTACAAGCCCATGTCTAAGTGCTGAGGGCTTGGGGGAGCTCAGGAGGTTACTGGACTGTCCTGGAACTGGAACTGGCGCGCACTCACAGGTGCCATCTCATCTGTCCACTCCCCATGACCAGGTTGGAACCGCTTCACTGTTTCCATATCATCTATCACCCGGACCACATCACCAACCCAAAAGGTGTTGAGCTACAAGAAAAAGAAAGTCATAAGCTTTTGGGGGATGAAGCCACACACAGACAGAGACAAAAAATTAATAGTGATCAGCCCGCACCACCCCAGTCCCAAAATCCCAACAAACAAGACACCCACTGAGTCAAAAAACAGCATGGCAAAACATAAATGCAGCTACCAAGAAAATTAACACAGCCCAATTCTTTTTTAAGCCAAGTACACATTTAAGTAGGGAAATAATTTGGAACAGGCAGTTTCCTAACTTCTTTTGCTCCAAATGGTTTATTATTAATACCAGATAAAGCATGGAAGTTTTCTTGGTCCATCTCCTCGCTACACCTGGCTGGGCACTGGAGATTTTAATTCAATCTAATAAGGAAGTTAAATGTTTGTTATTTTAAACAGAAAAGGGAAAGCAGGGTTTATCTGTGCTGGGAATTTGCCAGATGCTCCCTCTGCTCACTGAGCTAGGAAGGGAGCAGTGTCAAAACACACTTTTCAGAGCAGACTGATTTTGTGCAAAACAGTCTGACACTGCATTTTCCACTGGTGTTGGGAGTTTTTAGCATTGTGACCTTGCTCAGGTCAGAATTTTGTGGTCTTCCAGCAGCTTCTTCTACACCTAATTATCTCTAATTATCCACTTCTCAAAGTCCTCAAACCTCTGGGGAAGGCCAGAGCTGCGAGCTTTAGAAATACAGCCACAAAATTAGAAGGGCTGGATTAAAGTTTCAGAAGAAACCAAAGACAAGTGAAACAGAGCTGCAAAAAATAACAAGATGAAGACACAAAACAAGGAAGGACAAAAAAAAAAAAACAAAGGGAAATTATGTGGGGAAAAGGTTCATCACAAGGGCAAGGCAGCCGCAGAAGGATGAGGGACTGGAAGCTGAAATTAAGAAATGCAGTTTACCTTCAGGACTTTGCAAAAGTTCAAAAAACAGGACAATTGTGTTTAGAAGAGCAGGGTGTCCCTTCAGCACCTCTGGGGACACACTGAGCCCTAACCCAGCAGGGTCAGTGACCTCCCTGCAGCATTCCCAGCACCTACCTTGGTCAGGGCTCCAGGGTGGAAAGTCCAGCGGGTCTCAGGGTTGAACTGGACCCTCACGTCCCCTCTGTCCGTGATCCTGTGCACGGTCCCTGTCTGCCCAATGAACTTTGGGCACAAAATAAAAGAGGGGAAAGCCCCTCGATAAATCACCTTGTTTAATAGTGGGGAAAGAAGGTGTCTAAGGCTAAACCACCCAGCATTTCCCATCCACACTGCTCCCAAATCTACCTTCTGTAGCTTCCTACTAAGCCCAGCATTTCCCAGTCCTAAACTCTGGATTTTCCCTTTAATTCCATCATTTCCCAATCCTAAATTCTGCATTTTCCTGTTAATCCCAACATTTTCAAGTCCTAAATTCCTGTGAGTCCTAAATTCTGGATTTTCCTATTAATCCAAGCATTTCCAAGTCCTAAATTCCTGTGAGTCCTAAATTCTGGATTTTCCTATTAACCCAAGCATTTCCAAGTCCTAAATCCCTGTGAATCTTAAATTCCGTATTTTCCTGTTAATCCCAGATTTCCCAGTCCGAATTTCTGGATTTTCCCTTTAATTCCATCATTTCCCAATCCTAAATTCTGCATTTTCCTGTTAATCCCAACATTCCAAGTCCTAAATCCCTGTGAATCTTAAATTCCGTATTTTCCTGTTAATCCCAGATTTCCCAGTCCGAATTTCTGGATTTTCCCTTTAATTCCATCATTTCCCAATCCTAAATTCTGCATTTTCCTGTTAATCCCAACATGTTTCAAGTCCTAAATTCCTGTAAATATCTACAAGGCCCTTCTCATCCAACAGAGCCCAAACTGGAGTCAGAGTTATCACTAAAAAAATCTGCATTTGTGATTCACTTCAGCTCTAAGGTCACACAAAGATGTTCTGGTAACTTCCTGAGCAGTGCAGAAGGAGGCAGAGGCTGGAATTGTACCCAGGGAGAACCCAAGGACTTACCTCAGCCATTTTGGGATTCCAGCCCCCGTGGCCCTCCTGCATCTCCCGCAGGATGTCGATGTCCAGCAGGCACTTCACCTTGTCCCCGTGCTGGAAGGGATGCCTGTCAGTGCTCTCCTTCCTCTGCAGCTCAGCTGGTTTCCCTGGGGACAGCAAGGACAGCACCCACAGGCATGCAGGGTGCAGTCACACACCCTGGGTGCCACACTGGCTTCCTTACAAGGGCTGAAAATTAACATTAATTTGGGGCAGAATGGTGCAAATCCCTTTTCATGCTCTATACACTCTACAGGACAGCAGAGAAATCAGCAGCATTTATCTCTAATTATATTAATAATTACATTATATTAAAATTATATTTTACGATTTCCAATTTTATATTAATAATCCATAAGCAGCTCTAACAAGAGCCATTTTGTGCCTCTGCAGAGCAGGGAATGCCTCTCAGGCCCTGGCAGACACCAGGAGCTGTTCTTAGCAATCCACTCACCCACAACTGCTGTTCAGACATGCCCACACAGCACCCAAAATTAGTTCTTCCCCCCCACAGGCAGGCACAGAATTCACTCTGAGGAGTTCCTTACCCTCCCACTCATCCCATGCATCCATACCCCTGGAATTAATCTCCTCATCCAACCTTTCCCTCCCCTCATGCTCTTGCCAAGGTGCCCAGGGAGAGAAAAGTTTGAGAAGGACTGGTAAAAATCTTCCTGAAAAGTTTTGCCTGATAAAAACCCTGATTTTGTTGCTGCAAACACCAGAACAGACCCCTCTGTTTTCCTTCAGGGGAGCCAAAGATGTCCCTGCATCTCATTAAAAGAAAACCAACCCCACAGCTAAATTACACCTGGGTGGAAAAAAAGCTTCAAATCCAAAAGCACAAGGAGTTTCCTTGGACTTAAGAGGAAAGGGGGATTCCAGCAAGTTGCCAGTACAGACATCCCCTTTTCCCATAATTTTTTATAATTTTTGGCTGTTCCATTCTCCAGAGTCTCCCTTTGGTCACGTTCCCACTTTTGGCTCCACCAGGAGAGTGTTTGCTTTCTAAAAGCACAGCGAACAACAAGCTTGCCTGAAGAGTGAAAAGCTTTGGATTGACAAATGTAACAAAAGTGAGAAAAGTTGGGTTCTCTGTAGCAGAGTGGGAATTTCCTGCGTTTCCAGCAGAGGTTGTATTCCTTGGGATAGAATTGTGGGTATTCCGATGATTTTAACACTAAAAGTCCAAACTATTTCATGAACCGTTCTGAGATCAAGCAGTATGTTCACACACAAACCAAATTCTCTCAAATAATGCTCATTATGTGGGAACTTTAGAAAACCAGGAGGTGGTTTTGTGTCTTCCAAACAAAAAATGGCTTCAGCGCCAACGGCCGTGTGAATCACAACTTCTCAACGAAGACTTCACCCACCTAATTTTGGGAGGTGCTCCTTGTAGTAGAAGCCCCCAGAAGCCTCCACAGTACATTTGAGGTCCACTTTTCCCTTGTGGCCCACCCTGTAGACGTTGGTGGTGCCATCTGCCCAGGTGACGCTGGCGACGCTGCGGCCGGTCTCCACGTCCCAGCCGCGGATATCGACCACGCGGCCGGTCTTACCCTCACCCCCTGAGGGGAAAAGAAGTGCAAATCAGGAAAACTGGATCATGGGACAACTCATTTGGAGTGATTAGGAGGGAATCTCTGTGTTAAAGTTGCTGAAACCCAGCGAGCTGTTCAATTTTGGAATGATTCTGTGGAGGATTCCTGGTGTGCAGGAGCGTGGCCTAGTTGGGGAATACACACGTGGTGTCATGGCACCACACTGTGGCAACAAAAATACTCAGCAGTGCTGCAAGATCCAGGATCCAAGTGCTAAAGATCCACCCAGGATCTTGCAATATCTCTCCAACACCATCCATGTGCTGCAAGATCCAGGATCCAAGGGTTCAAGATCCACCCAGGATCTTTCAATCTCTCCCCAACACCATCCATGTGCTGCAAGATCCACCCAGGATCTTTAAATCTCTCCCCAACCCCATCCAGGGGGGGAACATCAAAGAAACTTGGTTTTCTTCAAGCAAGGAGCTTGAGGAATCCAGAAGAAGAGGATGGATGTGGGGAGGTGATTCTGGCTGGGCACTGGGACGTGCTCTGATTCAAGAGACAACACAGTGAAGGCAATCAGGGTTTGCAGATTCCCAGTCTGGGCAAGTCCCAACACTTCCCCAAGACTTCCCCAGACAAGGACAGCAAGATCTGTCTCACTGAGGAACTTGTGGTTGTCTGCAAAGTCCTGAAACCCAACAGCCTGACGGAGCTGAGCTCCTCATTCATCAGCACAATGCAAAGGCTGGGTTTTGCTGGCAGTTCTGCTCATGACAAGACCACGGCTGCGGATGGAGCAGCTCCACCAAGACCAGAGAGCAGCTGAGGGCTGGATTTAGGGCTCCTCTCACTGCTCCTGCCCAGGGAGCTGCTTTCAGGTCAGCAGCACCGTCAGCAGCACCAGTCTCAGACATGTAAATGCTGCTGTGATCTCCAGAGGGTGGATAAGCTGTATTGAGCATAAGCTGATTTACCCTCTGACCCTGCAAGCATCCACATCCTCCACCGAGCCCAGAGCTGCAATAAATGGCAGAGTCAACTCTGGAAACCTTTGAACTTTTGACTTAATTCTTCAGAGGAAAAAGGAGGTGTAAACATCACAGTGTGTGTGCAGGGTTCTGGGACAAATGGGGAGGAAAGCTCCCTCAGCCCTGGAGCAGCACACAGCAACTGCTGTCACTGACCTGGGGACAGGAATTACACCCCTAAAGCAGTTTAAAAAAACCATTTTTGTCCCATTGCATTCTCAGCCTGAAGGTTTCAATTCCTACAGAAAGCAGGAACCAACCTCCAGTAACCACAGAGTCCTTCATCAGTGCACCATGGGAAACCCTCCTTAGAGAGAATTCCTCCTCACTGTTCTTGAAAGTATCCAAATAAAGACATTGCAAAAACTCCAAAAGAAAATGGATACTGTGCACAAAGTCAGATAAACTCTCCACTATCAATTAAAGCTTTTTCAGGAAGAGGGGAGTCTTTCTTTTCTTGTAACGTGGTGTGCATTTACAATTTTATACAAGAACTTCCAGCATGGTTCTCAGTGGTTTTCACATCTATGGAAGAGGAGCAGCAAAACTTCCTCCCCACACCCTGGACATGGTTTATGTCACAGATATGTGACAAACAACAAATACAAGGAAAAAATAGATTTTAATTAGTCAAAAGAACAGGCACCTGCATCACTTGAACAACCCCCCCTAGAAGCTGCTGCTCAACATGTGGATTTTCAACCAGCAATTTGCAAAAATAAAAGAATATTTTACATACAGAAAAACTTATTTATATATATATATATATATATATATATATATGTGTGTGTGTGTATATATATATACATACACACATATATATAGTTTTGTATAT